TTTTTATGTCTGTAATTAAATGAGAGTGAGGGTCTTCCCCACTGAGTTATTTTATTGCAGGGAATTGTGTTCTTCTTTTTTTCTTTTCTTTTTTAAGCTGTTTTGCAAGATGGATTATTATATCATAAGTAATTATGTCATTGTAGCTGAAGCACAAAAAAATGTCTTTTATTTGTTGTATCAGTCCATTCTAATTTATATTTCCTCTCATTATTAAGACTTTTACTCTGTGGGAGTTTTTGCAAGTATTTTCTAAATGTTTGATTTCCAGTTCCAGGTTATTTTCATATTATTTTTTTCTTCTTATAAGATGAGGATGTGATAATTTTACCCCGTATTACTGTTTTGCAGTTTGCCAGAGTAATCGGTGAGCTGTTCAGGGAATCATTGAAGGATACCCACACTCTCCTTAAGAACTGGATCTCTGAGGAGTGAAACATTAAAGCGCCATCTGAAAGGTTGTTTGTAAAATTGCTTACTGTGGAGAACTAAGGAGATATGAGCATGGTCACTTATTATAATGGATTAATGTATCAGTTATGTCCTGTACAATTGAGTTACTAGTGAAGAAAAAGTCAATGCGGGAGGGTGAGTGATGTAGCAATGAAAAATATGAATATTCATTTAGTGTTGGATTATTTATACGCCAACTGTCGCCAAAAGTCCAAAGTCTTTCATATACTGTTTTATTGTCACAGTGGATTGCCATTTCCTGCTAGTTGTTGTTTAATGGTCTACTCTTTGGTGAAGAACTGTGTTAAAATCTTCTCCAGTGAGAGTATGTGAAAACATGTAAGAAAATATGTGGGAAAATGTTAGGTCTATAGATATTTGCTTTGGTAAGATCTATGTGGTTTATTGATGTGTTAATGATAAACAGTCTGCCGTCTGGGTCAGTATTGGTTTAAGTGGGGCAGTGATTGAAAGTTTTTGAGATGATTCATGTATGTGTATGAGGTTGAAAAGATCTTGGCACATATAGAATTTTTTAGCATACTGACACTGGTTATCATATTGACATTGACAACAGTCAGAATACCAAAAACAAAAAGCAAAAACAAAGATATAAAGCATAGTGCAAAATAACAGCGATAACATGAATTTGAGGGGTGGCTGTTCACATAGGAGTCCAATATTTGCATGTATTGAGAAGGGAGGGTGAGGGGGAGGATGTTCAAATCATGTTATTACTCATGTCACTGATGGGTAGGCGTAATGTAATGTGTTAGAAAAGCCAGGGTGTTGTATTAGGGTCACAGTAAGGCTGTTCTTCAATGTATAATTTGTTCACAATCAAATTTTTGTCTGTATTGTTTCATAATGGGATACAGAACTTACTTCACATGGGAACTGGTAATCAAGTCTGTATTTAGTACCTTTCAGTTCCTTTTCTTTTGTTTTTCAAGTTCCTTGTGTTTAAAATGTTTAAGTTTGGCAACAATGGATCATGGTGTTTTGTTCAAACATAGTCCAAGACAGTGACCTCTTTGGAAAGTGGCATGCATGTGGGAACATATTTTTAGTCCAAGGGGCAGAGCTGTTGAATCAGGGTACTACCATGATGGATCTCACCTCATTGTGTTGGGTCTTGTAATATTCGGAGTGCCATGTCCTCTGAATATGCATTTGATGAGCTGAACTTAACTTTTAGGTTGTTTCATAGTTATGCTGGCTTTTCTGATTAAATGTGTAAGTATTGCAACATACCTATGAGGTGGCAGTTTTTATTAGGATGTATCCAATGGCATTATACGTAAACTGTTGTTAAAGGACCAGTGTGTAGGATTTAGTGGCATCTAACAGTAAGTTGTAAGTAAGGGTAAGAGACCTGGGATCTCTTGGTTTATCCAAGTCACAAATGTATCACACTGGACCTAAGATGTGCTGTGCTGAGGCAGAAACCATCCTTTATATCTAAAAGCATTGGGAGTTCCTGGGTGGTCCTCTTAGATGGTTTTCATCCTCTCATCTCACAGGGAGAAAAGCATGCATCATAATTATACCCTGTACTTGCCATAACATGTTATGTGCAATGAGCTGGTGCGCCATGACGCACAGCAGCTCTTGGTCTGTTATGCTTTCAGAGGGGCTGCTGTGCAATGACATTTGACAGGTCTGTGTGGAGGAGATTGTGGTCGGCACCCTGCAACTACTGTATATGCTGGTTGTGTCGAGGTCTCTCTTAAGGCCTATTTTGAACTCTGGTTCAGATGACCTATGAGTGGTAAGCTGTTCTCCATTAGTCTGCCCGCTGCCCCCATTTTCCAGTGCGCATTGTTCTCAACGATGCACATCCTTCTGCCTCAGCCTGTGCTAAGCACCACTGGTAAGGCCTGCAGGAGCAAGAGGCCATGCACAATACTCCACATATCCAAGAATATACATTGTATTCTCAAGTGACCTGGGCATGCGGGGGCCTTTGCTTATACATGTGTAGATGAGTATTCCAGCCTTTACAGCCCTGTTAGATGGCATCTGTACACTGTGATGGTAAATATTGTGAAAGCTTACACAATAAGACAACAGTCACATTTACATAATAATAATAATAATAATAATAATAATAATAATAATAATAATAATAATAATAATAAAATGATGATGATGATGATGATGATGATGATGATAATAATAATACTAATAATAATAATAATAATATTATCATCACTGTACTATGTCAAGTTGTTTGGTTTACTGGACTATATCCTCATATTCATGTATGACCGGATCTAATGTTGAACTAAATATTGTATTTGGAATATATTCATTTAATGAAGAAAAACAGTGATCCTTAACACCTGCAAGATCCAATTAACAGTGATGAGCCATTTTTGTGTGACCATTTTATAATCTCTGTCACTTTTTGCTAGTGTTCACTGAGATAATGTGTGAAAAGCAAGCATACAATTATTGACAACAGAAATCTTTATATAACAAAGACATACATTGACTGAAGTCTTAGCCATAATACTCACTGGCAGCTATGACTGAGGATGATGTGCCTAATGAGAGTAGATTAACAGGCTTATACAAGGGAGATGCTTGCCTTTATCTGTGTTCCAGAAGAGTTAATACCTATATTTCTGTTGGCCAGTGCAGTTCAGCAGTGTTAGGGTGCCTATAGAATAGTTGGTCTTTGAGGTAAATATAATATAGCTGCAGTTGACTGGTCCACTGTTACTGAGCAGTGAAAGGCAATTTCAAAGGCCAGAGTGTTGAATATACTACATTGCTGAATTATCTGTTTTAAGCCTCTCCAGGAGTATGGCTGTAGGGATGGCAATTTCGGTTGGTCAATCCACCACTTTGGTCCAAACTGAGACATCTCAACAACTACTGGATGGCCTGCAGTTAATTTTGTACAGACATCCATGGTCCCGAGATGATGAATCCTAATGACCCCTGATTTTTGATATAGCACCATCAAAATCACATCAAAATGTCCTTTTGCCCAATACTTTGGTTTATGACCAAACAATGTCAAAGTCAATGACATTCCCATCAGTTAGACTTTGTACTAATGAGCAGATCTTAGCAAATTAAGCTTGTATCAGTGGTAAACACTGATGTTGAAACAGGAATGACATAATAAATACTTCATGACCAAATATTCATAAAAAGATATATTGTATTTATTACATCACTATAGATCATTTTTCACATCTTAGCTTGCCTAACACGACATACAAAGTGACTTAACACGATGATCTTTCTATTTCACCACACAAATAAACTCATACTGCCATGTACATCTCTGAACAATTTCATTCACACTCACAACATAACAATAAACTCTTCTGATATATGTACACCACCCTCAACCAATTACTTTTACCTCCCCAGGACTGGCTAAGATAAAAAAAATGTGGACCTCAACTTTTATATCTGACACTTTTGTTTTCTTTACAATGAGAATTACAGCCTCACATAGCCGCTAGCAAGGCCTTAGACTCTGCAGCTTTTTGCTGTTGTACCTCTTGTCAGTATCTTCCCCAATTTTGGAAGTCAACAGAGATGTAGCCATTTAAAGAGCTTTGTTTACTTCTCTGACTTGACCTTGGCTGATGCACCTTGTGTTAGAAAATATATGCCATTTTAATGATTATAGAGCACGTTTTTTTGTCATGTTTTATACCCCAAGTGAATTAAAGCGAGTGCTGTCTTAAAATTCCTCAAATGTACAAACTGCAAGCAACAAAGAGTAAAAGGCATAGTGGCAATTTGGTGCAATATTTTCTCTGATCACGTGAGGGAGAATTATACAGAACGACTACAATGCTAAAGGGTGACTCAAGACAAGTCTTGGGTACTGTTTGGGAAAGAGGCCTAAAATTGCTTAATCATTCATGTTACATTGCTGTAGCACATATTAAATAATATAGTATCTGTGCAAAGATGATTAAGTCAATTAAGTTCACAGCTTATGTGCTAATGATCAAACACAGTAGAAATACATAGAGCGTGAACATCCAGACATGGAAAGAGTTTCCCTTTCACTGGATGCTTTCAACCATGGCTCATTGTCCATTAAAAAAATTCTAGTCTCAGACTTTAAGCAAAGGCACATAGACATCTCAAAATTAACATCACAAGACAGTGGTCTTGTAAGCCTTGCACTAAATGTGTAGCAATGGGCAGCTCATCAATGCTTTAAAGAAATGTTGTGTATTAAGCTAAGTGCATGATGGTGACTGTGTCCTTCTGGCACATTGTTTTTTGAGCTGAAGAAGTGAACACAGGTCCTGGGACTCTCCTACTTCAAGCCTTGGAATGCTTCCATCTCAACATTCTGGGGCTTCCTGACTTAGAAATGAGACGCTGGTCCCCACATGACAAGAATACTAGTTCTCCTTAATGAGCCTGGGTGCTAGAGTGAGACACATTTTACACAATGTAGCTCCAAGGCTGCAAAACCTCTTATAAAAATGTAACAACCAAACCCTTGTTTAACACTCAAAAGTGATGAATAATAGTAGAAAACAAAGAAAACACTGACAGCATTCATATTTTCCCTGAAGTGATTTTATTACAAAGTTCATGAGGACTTACAGTATTACAAGAGAATTTGTCAACATGCGAAAACAGAACAAAGCAGAACACAGGATTTTAACAAACTGGTAAGATAAGACAATCCACTGTTCACGATAAACATAAAAACTGATTAAGTCCTCAGGAGGTGGGAGCCGGTGAATGACTACAGTGCAGGCATAGAACGGCCACATTCACACTGACTCAGCAAAGGTCAATCCAACCAAGGCAAGATGTGCACATCTCAAGAAAACATGTTACAATTTTTATATGCCATCGGCTTTTCTCAGAACTTTTAGAAAGCTTCACTTGTATGTACATAAAACTGTACAAAAACATGGCATCACAAGCATTTTATCCCATATAAATATACCAACAATTAGGATAACAACTAGATTCTCTCTTGCAAAGACATTTTCAAGGCAATTGTCTTTGTTGTAGATGAACTGTGAAAAAGATGAAACGTTCAGTTAATTTCAGTTCGTTTGGGAGAGGGCCTTTTGAATATGAACCAGCACTGACATTTCAGAAAGTAAAATTTAAAAAAAAAAAAGAGTAAACAGATTCTACCAATTATCTTTGGAATTCATGCTAAAATCATTGCCCGCTTGACAGCAGATTCAGGGTTGTGGAGATCTATGTACACTACACCACCAACTGATTTCCTTATTTTTTCACACAACCAGTTTGCTAAGAGTCTTTGAAGAAAAAGAAATCCTTTTGCCAATTTCAGTACGTTAATTTGTCCATCTGTCCACAGAAATGTTCACCATACAATACACACTACAGAGAGGCAAAAGATACTCAAGTGAATCCAACATTAAATCAATGTTAAGTACAAATTAAACATTATTCAACATACTTTTGAGTGTATTTAGGTGCTTCATGATGTCCTCCCACTTTGATCAAGGAGAACCATTCTGTGTTTGAGAGAGAAGTAAACACAGTTCATTCAGCATGAGTTCAAAAGAAAGGTCAAACCTGGTGATATATTGTTCCAGGGGTGAGTAGCAGGAGGTCATTATCGGCTGGAGTCCGACTCATTAAGAGATTAGGGGGAGGGGGAATAGGCCCAGGTTTGTTTCTATTTTGCAGAGGACTTGAATCAAACTCCTGTCATTCCATTCGGAGGTACTCCATTTATTTCATGTATTGGTGATCAAAGAGATAGATCTGAAGATACATTCCAGATTCACTAAAGCGATAATCGCATTCAGGCTGGAATCAGGTTAAGATTTAACCCTAGAGATAAATTTTGATGCAAAGCAGTCGTGAATCTGAATTGAGTCAAAGCATTTAAATAGATAAAGTTGTGATTGAGGCTATGTGACACTGGTTTTTATCACTCGTTGCTATCTTTCTCACTTGTCATTAATTCCAGGTCAGTGATCTTACCCGCTGCTTTGAGTTCGTGAAGCGGCTATCCACAGCTCTGAGAGGGGTGCTTGGGGGAGCCGTGGGGGTTTAATCACAGTGTATCATGGCTGTTGTTTGAATTTTATTTCAGTCGCTAAATGGCTTTGAAAACGGCATAATGTGCTTTCTCCCCCTCAAGGCAGGATAATCGCCCACCTTATTTAATCATGGCCATGTCCAGTAATTTCCATATGTTTCCAGTTTAATTATTCTTAACGCAGTTTTCAATGGCAGCACGATGAGGTAAGTGCTGATAAAAATACCCCTTTTAACTGATTGTAGCTCTGCGGGTGGATTTGCATTATCTGGTGGGTGCCTTGTCCTGGGGGTGTGCTCACACATGCCCTAGCTCAGGACTCATTACTCACCCTAATTAGGAAACGTCCATTCTAGGCTCTTCCACCCTTACTCAGAGACACAATCTCACTATGGAAATACTCTGCAGAGGTGAAAGGTATCTACAAATCTAATCAAATCAATGTTCAAATCAAAGACACCGGCTTGCTCTGTGATGTTGTAAGGCAGGCTAGTGTTGTCATCATTAACATCCAATTACTGACTAATACATAGTGTCCTTCAGACATATCCTTCAGATTCACTTGGAAAATCTTTGTAAAGATAAATGAAGCCCACGGGCATGCCCTATTTTTTATTCTCTGTTCAATAGCCAGAGGAAGGAAAATGCCTAATAATTTATTAAGCATGTTGTCCTCAATACAAGGAAAATTGTAATTAACAGAAGTAGCAGTAAACTGAGACCGACTGCTACTACCTTAACATGTTTAAGCTCAACAATATATAATATATGCAATTGCATACATTAATTTCTGACATGAAATCAAATATTTATTTTGAAATCTCTCATGTTATAGACAATTTGAGATTTTTTTTATTTCAGTGGGTGCACTGTGTATTCAATTCACTTCTGAAGAAGTATATTTAAAAAAAAAAAAGGAAGTACTCTCAACGTCGAGCTCTCATATAGTACATCAGCATGACTATCAACTTCCATAAGTCTCTCCAGTGGCTCTCCATACTCAAGTGCCCTTTTGTTTAAATAATTCCGTTCATTAGATCGACAAAAGTTCTGATGGTTCGTGAGGGGAAAGGACTATGAGCTTTAGGGGAAAGGATTGTGAGTTACACACAGAGCCTGTCTGATTGTCAGGGATAGAGAAGAGCTCTTTAAACTGATACACTGGTACGATTTCATCATCAAGAGTGAGTCACAAGGTTTGATATAAAAAGCCAATCAGAATGTGTCTAGTGAGTGCTCTGCATTTGGTCATTGTGACTCCGGGGGTACTGTGGCCAAGTCAACCGTTTTCATGATGAACGATAGGTCACAGTGCTGAGAGTCAGTGGAACATAATGTCAGTTGAAATGTTGCCACGCAGCTTTCTCCACCAGTGGCAGAGCTCTACAGGGAGCAGAGGTAAAGGCCATTCTACTATGATTAGGGGTCGAAGGTGTGTGTGATTGTGTGGAGCGGATAAATGCCTACCACAATATCGAGCTCCACTTCTGGAGATGGTTTCAATCAAGTCTAAACAGCAGCAGCCAAAAAAAGCTTAAATATGCTAAAATTCTGAGGCAATTTTTTTTTTTTTTTTCAGCTTATGCCAGACAAAAATATATGTAGAACACACCATTCAAATGTATTTACAGCACTGTACATTAAGATAGAGCATTCCATTTGATGGTTAGTCAAAAGTGTTATGCCTTCTGATAGGGCCTGACTGGCTGTCTATTAAATTATAATCTAATAATGGCACAAGAGCACTGATCACAATTTTTAAATTCAAGAGATCACTTCACAGAATGGGACTTGGCTAACTACAACAATAATTAGTTACCACTAAAGTAGCAATTACCATCTGTATTTCCTTTTGATCAGTTTGAATTGTATCCTTCAAGATTTTGTATAAATAAATGAGTGCATCAATTAACTTTGTGGAATTCTTAATAAATATGCTAATAAATTAATAATTTAAGGAGGAAATGACAAAAAACAAGTGTTCATGCCAGTGATTGAATGAGTCACAGCCTATTGTTAACTACAAAACGGGCATTGGCTTTAGCGTGTGGACAGCCTGTTTCTCCATCTGAAGTGGGTGTATGTTTCCTTCACTTGTGCACCAATCGGATGATGATATTCCTCACAGGTAAATTTCTCTTTTTGGAGTGTGGGCAGAAGGGGAGGTGGGTGGGAACTCAGAGGCTACGCTCAGGGGCATCTCCTCTAAGGGGCAGTCCTGACTGGCGTCGTGACCACTGTTGGAATAGGCACTGCGAGAGGGCGGAAGGCGCGACCGGTGTTCCTCGCTACCAAGCCTGGCGCTCCCATTTGCCAGGCGTCCCAGGCTCCCTCTCTCCTGGTAAGGCACGAAGGTGGAGAGTTTCGGGGGGTTCCTGGTCTTGCGTACAGGGGAGGGATGCCCGGGCATCCAGCAGGCGTCTGAGTGGCCCAATTCGCTGCACTCGGTTGTACAGTTTCCGGTCATTGCCACATCGGGGAGGGAGCGGATATCTGTGGGCAGGAGAGAGAAAACAGAACCATCAGAGAGCTTCACAGTGATAAACATCTGAACAACATTCAAAAAAAAAAAAAAAAAAAGTCGTAAAAGGCATTTGTGAACAGAAATGGTGTCATCTGAAACACCCCATGAAACCCACCCCCCTCCTTGATGTCTTTGCAGCTGTTGCTAAGCAGTCAGCAGCAGTTGCTATGTAGCTGTTGCTATGCACTATGTAATGATCACTACTGTGTGTGTAGTCCACTAGCTGATGTGATACATTCAGGAGATGGCGTGCTGTGTCTATGTCATTTAGAAGTATCTAACAGCAGTTTGTAATATATCACTGTATTGTTAAAACATGAAACGGCATGAAATTTATTGATTTCTATTACATGTGATTTGTATGATGTACGTGGTGGGGCAAATACGTGTCAACATAAAAAAGGACTGCAGGAATGGATATAACACTACAGACACATATACTGTAGACATAGAGTGTTTGGTTACAAATGGAAAGGCTGGATCCCTTTGGGCAAAACCATTGTTGAATGAGCTATTGATTGACAGTGCTGAAATGAGTTCCCTGCCCTTGATTATCATCCATTTTCTATTCAACTGTTCCTAATTAAATAAATGGGTCCATGACCCACTGACCTCATTTTAATGTACAAGCTGTGAAAGCTCCAAAATAAGTTTGCTTCAGCTATCACTCAAGAGTCTCACACAATTTCTGAAAGTAACACTGCATCCAATAAGCCATGCAGTTGTTTACCAGAAATGTGCAGCTGGCAGCCAACAGACTTGTTAAGCAGCCCACCTGTTGACAAGCTAAACATACAGCCCAGATTTAATGGAAATACCACTCAATTTATCTTTGTTATCCCTACAGACTTCGACTAGGACGGCCAAATCAATGTCTGTGAAGAGAGGAGTAGACGACTAAGATCTGTGAGTCTGTGATGTCACCCACATGTAAACTTTCTGATTGGTGTGATAAACGCATAAGTGTGAGGCCTCAATGCTGTCCACGCCATGAAAGAACAATTCTGACGACTCGTTTTGCGGCTACGGGACAGTGTGTGAAAGAGAGTAAGTGTATTTGTAGAGAAAGCGGAAAGCTCAGTAGAAGGAGTAGAACAATGTTGATGCATCAGTATGATGCAACTGCAAGAGATGACGTATCAGAGGCAGCAGCGAGAGTTCACAGCTAATAGAGAAAATGCCAGCTTGACAGTAAGCCTATGAGACGTACCATCAGTATTGTACTCATGACCAGTGGCAAGATAATTATCCCACAAAATGTCAGACAGCTGAGGCCGGAAAAACTGCATCTGGCCCACTGAGGCTTCAATCAATCAAAGCTAAAGGGAGACAGTGTATGTGATGGCAAAGCATGACTTAAGACTTTAAACTGCATAATAAAGAAAATCGTGGAATGTATTTGGTCTCATTTTCCTTATTTATGTCCCAATTATTCATTTCTCATGGGTAATCCATATACAATTGTCCCATTGTTTATTAAAGAATGCATAGCTTGATCTATTGTTGCTGTTAATCTCATTGTTTCAATAATCCTAAATTACTGGATGTTTAGTCTATTCAATACATTTACTTTACAACTGAGCAACGTTCTGCCTTATTCATGCTTGATTATATCATTATGCTTAAGTGGCAAATTCTTCTCTCTGTTTATTAGGCCAGTGTCAATGATTTTTTTCAAATGAATGAACTACACTTTTATGCCTGATTAGTAAAGAAGACACTGAATTTAGACCTCTAAGAAAAGACGAGCAACGGAGGGAAAAGTGTGTGAGTGTGCACCGCCTCATGCATGATGATTAGAGTTTCATTTTCTCGGCTCCGCTAAGAGCGTTGTCTGTATGCATCACTGCAGTGAAATGGACTCTTGCTACAAAAGATGTTCATGGGAAGTGAGTTGGGGAGAGGGTTGAGGAGTATGCTTCCAAGCACAAGCACAGTCGTGTAGGCATCTACTCCAAAAGGATTTCACACTTGATTAAAACCTCTCCACAGCTTCCAGGAGGTTTATGCCACACCAAGCGGCTTCGTGTAAGCATTCACCGTGGCTCCGCATCTAAAGAGTCAGTGTACAGGGGTAAAAAGGTATATATACAGAGGTTTTCTAAAACACTTGCCACAATTGTGCATGTTTCTTTCTTTATGGATCCGAAATTGCCATTACATGTGAAGAGAAAAATACGTGAACAGAGAAAAAAATCCAGAAATGGTCCATATTTGTCCATTTGATGTATCATTTCTCTTTGAACTCATTCAGTCTCACAAAAGAAGGGATAAAAGACATAAAGGTTAACACTGATTGCCACATCCTCACTGACTGTCAGGTTGGTAATTGACTTTAGGTCGACTGTGTTTTTAGAAAATATAATTTGGACTTATGTAATGGAATGCCAACTGAAAGAAAACATGTAATGTAAAATCATACCACGCACCGGTGACAGGAATTAAAACACATTCTGAACCGTGCTCATCATCAAGGGCCATAAAATCAGCGATGACGGCTAAATACTCTGTGTAGCTTGCCAAAGTCTGCCATTTTCTTCCAATGGTGCCAAAGCACATAGCACACGTCATCTAAAGAGAACATAGATGCTCTAATGCCAGCTATTTTAGTAGGCCATTACCTTGTCTGTGAGTGTTTTATCTAAATTTTATATGGTTTTATTTATAAAATAGCTCTGACATATTGTCTGTTCTTAACAGACAATTTAACAATTGAGAAGTCTATATTCAACTGCAGCCTGTCATGTTGGAGTAATTGTTGCTACATGTAGTCATTAGCATTCTATAGAGCATATAATTTCCAGTCACACATGTCAGCACACAAAAGTTTTTTAACATGTGTTAATAATAAATTGCTTATAATGTAGTTATGACAGCATGCTACGATCATTATCAGTATCATTTGTGAACGCACACGTTTTTACATTTGCTTGCACCGACCTTTATGTCACACTCAAATCTATCTCTACAAAAAAATCAATAGTAATAATTATGCTTTTGTGTCTTTTGCTGTGGCTATTAGCCATCTGTAGCTGTAGTACCCACTTACAGTGTGGCAGAATACCGTCTGCTCTGCACATCAAAACACACTCCCACACTTGGCTGAAATTGTTTGAATATTTGGTGGACAGGATGAAGCAAATGAGTCAACCATGAGGTGAAGGAGCAGCCAAAGGCACGGTAGGACAACTGGTATTTTCTCACCCACTCAAGCCTGTTTTCTCCTGTACCTATACCTGAAATAAATCTGCTCACAGTCTGGAACAAACCCTTTAGAGTTTATAGTCTTGTATGTCATGGATGGAGAGCCAAGGTGGACAATGGAGAACAGATGGGCAAACCACAGCACTATTATGCCAGTGGCTGGAACAGGCTGACTGGATTTAGAGAGCTTGTGATTTGGTTCTGAGGAGCAGTGACTCAATGACATTTCTTACTCTCTGCACACGAGAGAATTTTCTTTTCCTCTAGACTTGGAGATAGATTGCACCTGTAGCTTTCTCCTTTCATAGTGGGTCAGACACATCTGCTTGCTTAAAGCAGTAACATGAAAAAAGAAAAACAGTAATTTCCTCTGTCAGTACCACATCAACGACTCACAGTGAACCCTAACAAACCTTCTAAAAGCACCTCCACTGCAGTAGCATAACATGCACTCCACAGTGCAGTTAAAGAGTGGGGGCACACACAGAGCTTAACCCCCCGGCTGACAGATACATGTGAAGGGGTGGGTTTGCATGCTGCTTGCATCAGGGTGCCAGTGGGAGGTGTTGAGTGTCTGAGGCAGACTTCCTCATCGTCTGATCCCCTGCCCACGGGCATGGGGGAAGCTGCCTCTTCCTGAGATTTCACACTGCTCCTCTCTGTTTGATTGCAAATGCTGCCTCTCCCTACCGGCTGCTTTCCAGCGTGTGCGCCACACCGCTATGATCGATGGCGAACAAATATGAGAGACCCACAGCTCATGGAGGGATGGCGGGGGAAAAACAGCTACTATCGTTTGGGAGTGTGTGAGTGATATTAATGGTATATTTGTGGTCCCTGCAAACAGTTTATGTGGTAAATGACTAAAAAGTTCCAAGAAACAAAAGGAAAAAGAAGAAATATCTCACATCTGAGCAGATATTAGTGCCTGGTGCTGGCTATCAGTATAATAACTAGCTGTGAATGTATTCTATGGTTGTCATACTCTGTGAAGAAAAACAAGAAACCAGGGTTTTGTATTTCTTTAGCTATGACATGTCAAGTCTTGTTATTCAAGTGCTCAGAGCAGTTTCTCACAGTAAGCAGAAGCTACCAAAAACATTTTTTTTTCCTCCAGAGGGGAGCATTTTTTAAGAGAGAAAAACTTGCTACAAGCACACAAACATAGTGTTGACACGCACATTTTCCATGCTCATTGTAATGGAATACAAAAGAACAATGGTGGAGTTTGTAACCTCAGACATTCACTTTCACATCTCACGAGCAAAATTAGAATGTGTTGGCTCGGAGGATTTGTCTCCTTACCTATAGCAAAAGTGACATGAGAGATAAAGCTGCAGTTAACCATTTACTTACAATACTTTGGTGTTATTCTGTAGATCATTGGTATGCATTCACTCTAAAGCATGCTTTGTGTACAACAGTTCACATACACTGCACCCCCTGCCTTCTTAGACAGCCTTTGCTTTTATTTTTAAATGCATTTTTTAAAAAGTCTTTTGTTTAAAGCTGCAATGATTAGTTGATTAAGTGATTTCTATTACACCTATTTAATGAACTATTTTGATAACCAATTAATCATAATTTTTAAAAAGTGAATATTTTCTGATTTCCTTTGTCCTCTATGGCAGTAAACTGAATATCTTTGGGTTGTTGACAAAAACAAGACATTTCTGGATGTCACCTTGAGCTTTGGGAAACAAATCAACTGATTGATTATCAAGAAAATGATGATAATGAAAATAATAATTGGTTGCAGCTCTAC